GCCACCATTTGGATTGAAGTATTCACTATAGTTATGGATTTGCCTAGCCCACGCTTGGTGAGTGTTGTACGATCTTTTTCACCAGTCTGTCGTTATAATTTCGAATGCTATCTGTTGTCTATTAAACACCTCTTTCTGCTGTGTATCATTGCACGTAGGTCCCCATACAACCCTCAAATAATTGAGTACGTCAGAAATAGAGAGAATTCTCACTGACCGTTTTTTAATGATCGCAAAGGACTCAAAGCAAAGCTGTATTGAATCACAATTTTTTGAATAATGTGTGCAAGGTCTTGCCACACCGTTGCTTCTAAAATTTGCAGGCAAAGACAATGTCGTCAAGGACCAAAGCAAAATTCTGTCGAATTCGAAGATGAAAGGATGTGGCTTTACTTGCACGTCGTCATTGTCTCTGAATGGTATGAATAGAAGCGAATATATTAGTTGACCAAAAAGACCGTCGAACATCAGTACTGATGGCGTAGTACTTTCTCTTCTAACTATAGTCAGTTAGTCACATGTTATCCTCTGACATGGCCTTAAGGAAGTAATTCGGTTGACCGGGTCGAGCTTTCCGCTACCACTAACAATAATTCCACCGTTTCACGCGTCATTTTAGAACAGAGTTCTCGCCAAAAGTCTCTACTGCCAGCGAAACCGCCCTGCTTTTTTCTCGTCTGCTCGTCTTTTTTCGGAAAGTAAGTGGTTTCGGCGGATATTTACGGAGATCTTCGTGCTGATTTGGATTAAAAAAACATAGTAGAATGCAGTGTTGCTCGATATACGCACTTAAAAAGGATGGTCCATCAGGGCTGGTGCAGAGTGCATACCATTGAGCAACATGCATACGTCGTGGTGAGCCGTCAACGTCCTGCAGTGAGCTAATTCATTTGAACAGCATGTTATGTAAATTGCTTTCTTCAGATAGGGAGTTGGCACTTGAGAAGAAGAAGACTCGATCGCTGGGACTATGTTTATTCGCCTGACGCTTCGATATTCGTCACGGATTCGTCATCAGAGACATGAGTAGTAGAAACAGGTTGGCACTGTCATAACCTAGTAGGCCATTCGTCCTTACTGCCCTAAGCGTGCGCATGATTATGCTTAATTGTCAGGCCTAACGCCTGAATCACAGCGATAAGTGCGACTTTTCATTTGCCAGTTGTTTATGGTATATGTTGTCCTGAAATGAGGATATAACTTAACAAAAACCTTGTGCATCGCCATTAGAGATAACAATAAGCTGTTCATATTTAATCTTTGCAAATCACCAAGAGTTTCTGGATGCCTGTGTTTACCGAAATTGTCTAGAAAATCTGCATACAATAGCCGCACAGCATTTCGAAACGTCTGAACCACCCCCTTTTCCCCGATATTTGAACAGTTTCTTGTGCCACCTGCGAACAGTAGTCTCAGACGGTAAAACATTGCTGAAACGTACATTGTCTTCGAGTTAAATTAGGCCGTCCGGGTGAGGTCGGCTAGGTAAATCTGAGTTTTGAAAATTTCTTGGCATAGACATATGAAAAGTGTCCAACTTTTAGCTATGTTAGACGCTGATGCCGTCATCTGGCACTCAAAGTGAACGGAAACCGAAGTTGCCCTCTTTATGCAAGGCTTTTTAAATTCTTCCTCCCTCACTATGCTTTCTACAACTGCACAGTTTTACCTTGAATGTTTTGTTGGCCGCGAAGATAATGTAATGTACCGCAAATATTTGTGTGGTTGTTGTAAACCCCGTGGATTTTAACTGATTGTAAGGTTCGTTGAAACTTAGTTAAAAGAAGGAAGTTATTCTATAAATGTAAACACTCTTAGTATTGAGAGAGTTGTTAGAAAACAATGCTTTATTATGAAGAAGAGAGTGGACATCGGCATGAGTGGTCATATTCGCTGTATGGTTTGGTTACTACGCTCAAGGCTTTCCGCTTCCTCAAACTACCCACCACATAAACATCATCGGCCTCCCACTTTGTGTAAACTTGAAAGACACCAACCTCTCATGTTAAGGTACACACGACGAACAACAGAAGCTATACCTATTCGGCTAAGTGTAAGCCACGGGATCAAAAAACTCCGACAGCTACCGACAGGACCGTTTCTTTTACGAAATCTAATATGAACACTGACACATCAGTCACCAGCACCCATACCTCATATGTGTAGATTTATTCTCAACAAATACGAACATTACTGAAAGAACAGTTGCGAGTCTTTTTCGGTGCTACTAACCAGGCTTGATTCGGAGTAGGTGATGCAAGATTTTCTCTGAAGCTGCTTGCAGGGAACTGGACTGCCGTGCAACCTCC